GATTTTGAGTCTGTAAATATAACCACTGGGCGGCTTTGAAGATCTCCACGACTTAGGACTAATTCCAGTGCCTTGTAGATGGCAAACAACTCTGCACCCATTATTGTGTGGGTTGGTGACAGTAGCCACCCTGTTGCCAGTGACAGTGAGGGAACATATACACCAGCTGAAACTGAGCCCTCAGCTGAGCGTGAACCTATCCTTGCAACTTCTTCTCTTCTTCTTGTTTGGTGATTAATGAAGCTCTGGAGACACGTCCATGTAGCTCCATGACTGAAAGGAGGTATGTAGAAGCAGCAGCCACAGCAACGTTAAATGAGGGTCCAGCCTGGAGCTTCTTCTGGCCAAAAATGCCTTGCACAAGTGATATTTACTGTGAATATGCAGACAAAATGGTTCTCCTATGAGCAGGGTTCTGAAAAGTAAAAGGGTAGTGAGTATGCTTGACAGGGTCAAATAGAGGCACCCCTCACATTTGCAGTCATTACAATTTCCAATTGATCTGCCCAGAGCGCCTCTGTCCAAGCTCCTGGACGAGCAGCTTTGGGGAGTTTTGAAAGTTTAGATAAGGTTAGTTCCACATAGTGTTATTCATAGTTAGTCTATATAAACAACTGTTAGGATTTAGCAAGTTATAGAATTGTAAAATTAAGATAAGATAGTGGTAAGTAAACAAATAATTGGTAGTCTACAAGATTGTTATCTTAGGTAATAGGTCTTTACATCCCCTAATTATATTTAAATTTGCTTCAAGACATTAATTTTCTTTAGGAAATCAGCAGTTGCATTAATCAGCTTCATCTGTGTCACCAGTGGGAAAGGGCCTCCACGGTCCACCAAGCAGATTTTTCACAGTTGGATCAACATTCAGTAAGGTTAGTGTGTTAGTTAGGTTAATTCTAGGCAGAGCATGCAGATGGCAGTGAAGAAAGAGGTGGTCAATGGTTTCAGCATGCAGACCACAGCTACATAGTGGATTGACTGTCATCCCAAAACGAGTCATGTGCGCTCTCACCCCTGTCGAAAATAACAGCTAAGACCAAAAAGCAAGTACCCAAATAACAGCTAAGACCAAAAAGCAAGTACCACCGCAAAGAAACAGCCACTACAGGTACCTTCCATAAAATGCCTCCCAATAAAGAAATAAGAATACTGCAATGGAACTGCCGAAGTTTAAGAAACAAATTGAGTAAGTCCAGTTGGGCCAGGTGAGGGCAGAAATCCTTCAAAATTTGCAATGTCTTGGTCATGACCATGCAGTTTTAGTTTTCTCTCGACCGCGCTCTCCAATGCAGCCTCAGAGCATAGTGGCAAACCAGAGATTTTTTAGAATCAGTTCATTTTTAATTTCCTCATTTACTCAAGATTTTAACAGATTTCTTATGTATGATAATTCTGGTATCAAAGATACTTTACTGGTCTACTTATAGGACTCAAAAATGAACTTGAGGAAGAGTCTAAACTCTAAAAAACTCTCTGCTGTGCCACTATGCCTCAGAGCTCTCTCCTACTCCAGAAACCCTGGATTTCATTAGGCCTGAGACAAAACAGGTCTTGCTTGACGATTGAATCCGATGGTTAAGGTAATTTTTTGCCGTTTGATCTCCCGGCAATAATTCAAGTGGCTTTCGGCTGCCTATATGATTTTCCAGAAGTGTTGAAGGCTACGTTCCAGAGGGCAGGAGTCATGATAGTCCATTACATCCAGGGCAGTGGTGGTCTTCGGCAAGCTTCCCGAGTCTCTAGAGATCATCCTCGCAACTGCTACCTAGACATTTGCGATTGGCTCTCCGGCACCGGCACAAGGTGGCTCACACGCAGGTGCGGATCGGACGAAAAGCCTCTCTCACCAGCTTGTTATTTTCTCTTGTTAGCATTAATTGAACAAGAGAATAAGAAATTTCACGTCATACAGTGGAAAACCAATGATATTCAGCGCAAAACCGAAGCTGCAGAGAGCGTTATTATGTATTTTTTTGTTTGCTATATTTTCATTTTGCGCGTTAAACGCTCAAGTTTAGCTACCTCAATAATACTAACTTTGTCAAATCGAAAACTATACTAACTTGATAACCAACACAGCTTTTTGGTCATAATTTGCTCCAGTGAGTAGGCAGAGTTTTTTATATCAAGCTAATCACTTTTTTATCAAGCTTTTATAAAGCAAGCGTTAAATTTTAGCACCGTTTGCACGCCTAACTTTATCAAATTGGAAGCGCTCTGAAAAACTTTGATTCTGCTCATCGCACTATATGTCTCAATTTCTTACTTCATTTCAATTTGACTCCATATATGGTTCACTCGGGCATTATTACAATTTCTGTGTTCTATTTCAAAGGCCATTGGGAAACAAGAGTCAACTACGCCATATGACGTTAGTTCTAAACGTACATGAACTTTATATGAAAATTGTAATTTAAACATTTCTTGAGCGATGAGGTAATACATACTCGAATATAACTGAGATATTAACTGCACTTTAGAAGGGAAAAAAATTTTAGTGTTCATAAGGGGTACGGATGTTTCTAGACAATGTTTCTTGTTTGTTTAGACGGTTAAAGCGTGCAAGGAATGTCTTTAACAAATGATTAGGCTTTGGTAGTTTTGCTAGAGATTCTCTTAGCGACCTCGAAAAAGTCGTCACCAGCGTAGTATGCGATGGCTCATAGCATGTTCTTAAAACACATAGAGATGAAGACGAGGCCAGAGATGGTTAGCTAATACATAATTATTGTGATAAATAGTGTATGAGAAAAAAACTACTTGTTATTTGTGTCGTACATCAATCTTTGACTGACTTGACCCCTCAACTAGGAATGTTTTACGCCAGCGATAATCAAGTGAGACACTTATTGAAAAAAAAATGACAAACCATTACCTACATGCAAATATTTCTCTGAATTGGTCACAAAGAATTTGAGTAGTACGCGAAAAACCCGCAAAGACCCCAAGTAATATAAAAAAATATATTGGGTAACATAAAGCTACGGACGGAAGCAACTGCAAAAATGGCAGGTAAGGAATAAGAGACATATAACAATAATTTTTTATCGTTAATAAATTAAGAATTATGAGACAGAAACTGCGCTAATCAACTAGCTGTATCGCAAAATCTGCACTCAACAAACGTAAACTGCACCACTTGCTAAAACTTAACGCTTGGCGCGCTGGGTACATTAAAACAAAGCGGGTATTATACTTAGTAACAACGCTCACGGAGCGTATTTCGAATAATCAAACTTTGTGTTCGTTAAGTTAAGATCAAGATCGGCGAGTATTCATAAATTTATTTAGATTTTCTTCTAAGAATCTAAGAATAATCTTTCATTAAACTGTTTGATATTTGTCAAACCATTTAGTTCTGGCTAGAAAATTTATTATGTCGTTTAATTTGTAAATCATATTAGAGAAATAAATATGTGTACAATAAATTGAGAGAAATTTTAACAAAAATATTCTTTAATCCCAGTTCCTTTGAAAAAATAAACTATGCAGGTTGTTTTAGGTCGTGCATGTTGAATCAATCTTGCAAGAAACCAAGGAAGAATAAGTAATGGAGCTAAGGATATTCAGGGAGATCACAGTTTAAAATTTATTTTGTGTTCATTTGACATCGATTTGCACCAGAAATATAAAAAAAATACTCTAGAGCTCACCATCAATACAATGAGACAGACCAAGAAAAATAACCCTTTTCTATCTTCCATGTTTTCTCAAAATCTGTCACCTCGTTAAACCTCAGGGAAAATATGTCCATGCCTCCGGTCATTACTTCAACTACGTCCTAAAATATGGCGTAGATCATTCATTTGCGTTTTTTGTTCCGAATCGGTTATTTTTCAACATTTTTGTTGCCTTACAAAGTGCCTTTCAATGTCCTGCGTAAGGTTTTCACAAGCTCCCTCTCATCCACATCAGGCGCCTCCTGCATCCAGTAGCTGGCGCGCAAGGCAGCACGGCTCATCACGGCTCTATTTCCACTGGCAATGGCGGCACGATATTCACCCATACGTTTCTCCTTGGCTCTCTATTTCTATTTGAGTTCTAAAGCAGCAAGATTTTGTGATTATTCAGTGTATAACTTCAACGTCCTGAGCTTATTGTATTGTTCCATGGCCTTCGTATACTGTATGAGGGCTTTGAAGATGCCCATAATTATGCTGAGAACTGACATGGTCGCAACGACGAACACCACCACCATGAATTGTTCCTATCCGTCATCTTAGAGTATTTATTTTACTTTCAAGAACACAATAGCCTGAGGTTCATGACCAGTAATATTACCCATGTTGACATTGAGGTAACACGAGTACAGACCTCCATCTACGCGTAAGGCTTCGGTTACTATCACAGTTCCAGACTCGGTAGCATGCACTCTTATATCCTTCTATAATTCGTTGGTGTGCGGAATTTAATCGCTGCCGTTGTACCATGTGACGACAGGAGGTTTATTTTCTATTTATTTTTCTTTAACCGGGCACTTGAGCTTAAAAGGTCTTCCCTCCGTAACGTGTTTTGTATACCGCGCTTTGATCTCCTGTTCGTCCAGTTCGCTCAAGTTCAAAGTTTCTGAAGGCGTTGGCACAATTTCAGAGCAGGGTTTGTCCCCGATACAAGGGACACTAAGAACGTAGCTTTTCTTGATATTTTAGGTTTCCTGGCTCCATTTTTACATAATTTTCTTCAAAAATTATGAATGCACGCTTAGTCCTTGATGAAAGTTCGGGGAAAACGAATTTAAGACTGTAGGTAAATGAGTTTTTTAGAGCTTTTCGGCGAGTCTTATTGTCATGGAGGAGTACTTGGCTCCTCTGTGAGAATAGCAGGAATCGCAGTCAGTGAAGGGCCCTTCTAACCAAATGAATTATTTTCCCAAAACGAATGGATGTTTTTCTCCTTCCATTGCCTCATTAAGCGATCGTGCGACGTTAGCCATTACCGCATCCTGCACTTGACGCGTCAAAACTTGAGACGGTTATAAATCATTGCGGTCAAAGACATCAATCAAAAACGCTAAAGAAGGTATTTAGTGCGCATCCACAGTATTTTTTTACTGACTTTCTTCGCAAAAGTATACTCCTTCATCAGAGTCAGCAATGTTCGAGATCATGAGAGAATTATTAGCGTACTTTGTTACTCTAATTTTATCAGCATTTGAGTGCAGATCGAGATGAATTTTCTCCTTCCGCCTTTCACAAACTTCTAAGAACATATCGTTGCTATGCCGATCCAGACTGTTTTCTGCTAAGCAGTCAAGTTTTGACTTGAACCAAACTATCCTGCGACCACACAGGTGACATGGAAGCAGCACCTTCTCTCCTTCACTCGTATCGACCACAACAATTTAAGCGTCCGTTGGCTTTTGGCGCTAATATTCTTCACAAAATCTCGGAGCAGCTCGAAATGCAGGCTCCGCCATTTGTACGAGACTCAACAAAAATACTATGATTAGGGAATGCATTTTCAGATTGCACATTTTCAGAAGTCGAATATGACAAATGAGGCTCGTGTTTTATGTTGTAGATTTTATGTATTTTTGGTTCCGTAACCGGTAGCCACGATACGTCTCAGTGTTTCGTGGAAGCTGTGAACGAATCTAGTTAGCTAAGCAGCCTAGCTAGCATACAAATGAAGTGAACGTAAATTTACTCCTTAGTCTATAGTTTCATTTTTAAATTAAGAATGAATAAACAATATTACTATAATAAAAACTGCATTCAAATATGTTCGGAGGTTTTGAGACGAGTGCACATTGATGGCATGATTCGGTTGTGCTTGTGCGCTCACTGGAAGAACTTTGCTGCTGTCTCTGTTCGGAACTATTGTAGTAAATGTTGGAAATTATTATCTAGTGACTGGTAAGGCAATGGAGTAACTAATATTTAGCTAACCACTCAACAGACGGTAACTACTGCACCACTCAACAGACGGTAACTACTGCACCACTTAAAAGGCGGTGACGTTGGTTAAATACCTAATTAATGCGATGAATAAGTTTAATAGTTAATTACTGAACCCGATCACAGTATTTCGTAATTTGCTGCCAGCCGTCTATGACAATTAATTTTCCACAATTATTCATTAATTATCTTACCTGAATAATACATCTACTCACAATTGACGTAATATGGTTAGTTCCTGTATATGTATTCAAGTCAGTATTCATCAATATGAATCCAGAGGATCATGTATAGGATAATGATCAAAGGTATGAGTCATTCTGATGAGTTTACAGCCCCCTTGGATGGATAGATAAATACGATCGTATACAATGAATGTATAATTGAGATTTAATATTTCTGGGATATATTGAAGATAAGACTCGAAAATACGCAGCTGTGTGTACTGTCACTGTTAATTAAAAGCTGTGTCAGAGTTACAGATTAGGCCATTAGACCTGTCACCGATTCTGAACATCTCAGAATATTTACAGCTTGCTGAGGGTCTCGAACACGCAGCTCGCTGCTCCAGTCTTGCAGTGCTTGTACCGCCAGCCACCTTCCGACAGTTCCTATACGGCATGATATTATTACATAATATCCGTCGCTAAAAAACTGTGCCACATTATATTAATATATGATATACCGTACGCAGTTATATAAATCTATGACATATTATTATATGATATTACGCAGTTACGTAAATCTGCGACATTGTATTCAAATATGATATACGCCGTTACATAACTCTATGGCATTATATTAATATATGATTTTCGTCTTTTCATAACTCTACGTCTTGATTCTTAAACATTATAAACGTCGAAGCTTAACTCAGCAACACGACCTAACGAAGACATTACAAACGTAACCCAAAATAATGATGACATATATTTAACATAATAAAATGAAGACTAAATGAATATTGCATATTGAGCACCTTAATTGCACGAACATTCAAAGAGCAAATAAGTAGCAGTGTTTTAAGATGTCAATATATATGGCGGTTGGATAAAATGATGCTATATGTGTGTCAGTGTTGCGATCGCGCTATTACACGCTAGGCGAACTCCTATATTAATGCGTTTTATTTATAGTCGTCAATTAAGCTGTCGAAAAATTTCTGCCTACAGAGAACGCCTAAAGTCTCAATAACAGCCAAATTTAAACCATCGATAGGCTGCACACTGTAAATTTACTACACCGTTCGAATTATAGAAATTTAATATAAATTTAACTAAATTAAAAGCTAAATCAGCAGCGTTTTTGGAGGCCAAAAGAATTTCTCGGCAGTTAGCGTGGCTGGAGGAACGGTTAATCTAATTTTTTTCCCTAAGGCTTACAATTCACGGCACTCGTTAAAAATTGTTATATATTCAGTGTCTCATTTTGCAAAATTTTCTTTTGAAAGTAATCGGTAGTCAGATAGTGTTTGATTTCAACATGAATGAGAAAATATAAACTGCAATGTTTTCATCTACCGACTCGTCATTAGTGAAAATATTTTGTCAGTTTTCCATACTTTTACTTCTGCCTTGGAATTTCTAAATAAATTTATTATATCTCATAACGCTCATTACCGAGAAAAAAAAATATTGGTGCATAATCACTAAATCTTGACCACGATCCTCGTGCCAGTTACAGTGTAATTAACGTTGATGTAATTAAGCGCTCATAAATTAGGTTAGGAATTATCAGAGCATGTGTTGAACTAATGAATTGATTAATTAATCATCCTATACAAAATACCAGGGACTCGGCGGATACGAAGTACGAAGAAATCTTTTGACCGGGCCCGGAAAACCAATTTGGATGCTATTTATTATAGACACGAATGATGAAAGGTATGTATAATGAAGAACGATAGGCCTATAATGTAGGATATCTCAATTTTAAATCTTATAAAGTACTTGGATGTTGTCTGGCGATACATTCATTAATAATAAGTTTACGTACATTGAAATGTGTTGCGTGGCTCAGAAACGCGACATTACTTAAACCCATAGTCTCTCGAAATCTATTGGAACGCATCCGTGACGAACGTGAATGGAACGCCAACATTTCAAAGATCGACCATTTGCATATCTTGATCACCAGCATACATCGCACACTATAAATACACGAGCATGATTAATGACAAGCACTTGTCCTCGGCACACCGCAGTGAGAACACAAGTAAGAACACCGAGGCGCAGTGAGTACACAAGTAAGACGCACTCAAGCTAACACTAATAATGGAAAATGGAAACCAAGCACCGAACGTGAGGAAGACACGTGGCTGTTGGCCTCAGGCTAAAGTCGGCAAGGTAATGTGTTTCGATTGAAGTTCAATTTCAAATTGATGACATTAAAATAAATATGCAATTGCCTTATTTTGGTCTTAGCCTTATAAATCATGTGTATACTCTTTTTATATTCAAAAGTAGCTGCTAAAATTCACCTCGTAATATTCCAATGTTGTACGCGTATAATTAACCTTCAGATTGTCTCATCCGTGCTCTTCTGGACATCATTTTTGTTGGTCACCGCCGGGATCGGCTACGTCGTGATTCGTTTCTCCATGTCATCAGGCCCAATTTCAACTGAAGCAGATAACACTACCTTCGTCACGTCCGACTACGGCACCAACACGTCAGATCGACCGGAAATGCCTCTAAACTTTTCCATGGACGACACTACACCTTTCCTAAACCTTTCCCAAGACGACTCTAAACAAATCCTAAACCTTCCTTCCCAGGACGTCTCTAAAAAATTAGTAATCATTCCCCAGGACGTTTCTAAACGTTTCCTATACGATTCCTCAACTCCAACTCTAGACGAAGATATCGAGGATCTCGAAAGTAGTGACGACAGCAGTAGCAGCTCGGAGGAAGATGACGGAAGGTGGTCGTGAGTTCAGAAACTTAATGTTTTGTGCAACTCTTCAAGTCTCTTGCTAAACAGTTAGAGAGGTTGTTCGGTTTTGATACCTGAAAATCGTCATCGGCACGAAGCTTTTTATTTTTACTATTTTTTTAAGGTAAAATATAAATTTACTTGGATACATTCATTGTTTGTACCGATAATATGTTCACGTTTTCAACAAATATTTGTCGGTAAAATGAAGAAAGTTTTATAAGTTACAGTGACTTCTATAATTTTTGGTGTCAATAGGAACCTTTAATTTATAGAAACCCTTTTATTTTCCCTAATATTGAAATGAAGATTATAAAATTCTTATCATCAAATGATTGTAGGTTACCACCATGTGATCCTGTTCTCGTTCATAAACCAGTCGGACTGCGAAAATAAAAAATGCTTGATAACTGCGCAGTCACTTCGCCATTGTTGAACAGGAACTTCTCCAGTCTTCTATCACCGAGGGGAAAACTGCCTAATGAGACTTCTGGAATAACTTCTCATTAGTTTCAACATATCCCTCATGAAATTAAAATCATTTTTAATAGTAGCGCTGGGAATGCTTTACACATTATACCCTTCTCTAACAAAAATGGTCATCATCAATCATCATTCACAAATTGTACTCACGATTTGAAACCGTCATCACGTATTGACGATATAAATGAATCATATCATCGAACAATGAAATGAGCCTTATGAATAATCAACACTTGTTTAGACTGCATAATGTTGCAACGATGTAATCATATCGAGTGGGGGCACAGTTCAACAATTCTGTCCGACCAGGTTAAACGAACGTGAAAGTCAACAGTAAGTAAGTAGGGGAATTGTTTACTAGCGCTTCAGCTATCAAGCTATTTCGCACCGGAGGTCAAAAGTTTACATCAACCCCACAACCGAGACCAACGGTCAGACACCGCGAGCTCAGCGGTGGCGCGCTCAGGAACAATCCCACTAGGAGCCCAAGATTCCATAGGACTTCGGACGAGCACAGACACGCGACAGAAGTCCCCCCTGAGGGGTGCAAGTCAACAAACTAAGATCGCATCGTAAACTCAGCAATTTATATCTTTTGCTGAAAATATCAGCAATTTATAACTTTGTACCTTAGCATCAACAGGATTGCAAAAATTGTAGATGCGTCGCTCGTTCTAGTTTGTTTTAGTAAAACGTAGCAGAGGAAAGCATGAAAAGTTTTTAGTCCTGTGCAAAACAGAGTTACATGTTCAACATAACCGCATGGCAAGAGCAGCATGACAGATCACAACATACTGCTGAGCTCCGTACAAGTTAAACTCTCAGATACAAACTCCCGGAACATTACGCAAAATGATTTACTAGTGTTTCAGCTATTAACCGGAGCATGGTTGAAATATATCATGGTTGAACCATGGAAATATATAAGGTTGCCCCACGAGATATAAGGCTCTGCCTTTCAGTTCAGCTTCCTTGTTGCGTCACTGAGATCGAAAAACGTAAACAAACCAGCCATTCCCGTGACGGATTGGTTGACTGGTTTGGACGCATTTGGGTTATTGGTTAATGCCGTGACGTCACTGAGATCAGCGACGTCACAGGCGAACAAAAAGCTCCATCCGCGAAAATGAGCTTCTCATGGGACAACCTTATACTAGTTCAACCATGAACCGGAGGTCCTAAATAAAAAGTACCAGCAAGGCGGAAGGTCTCAATTCTTGTATTTTCTCAAATCATTCTTCAGCCACAAGGGGTGGAAGGTTTCAAGTGTCCTGAAGCCGGCAAGGAGGGACAGGTGAACAGCAACAAAAGCGAAGTCACTCGTACAAAATCGGCCGTCAGACCGGCCACGAGTTAAGCGGTAAATTTGTCCGAGAGTCTCCTGAGCTCGCTTACATGAGACGTCGGCCACCCGCACGAGAGAGACAAAGAAGGGAAATGTAAAAAATCTTGCCGACAAGGTAGCCTAACCCCGCAACTGAGACCCGCGGTTAGATCCTGCGAGTTCTGAGGTGGGGCGCTCAGGAGCAATGCCCATAAGACGAAATTTCGCCCGAGGAGGTACATTCCGTGATGTACTTCTAAATTAATGTACTGTGTTCAGTTCCGTTAAATTACTTCAATAATAAATTATAACCATATTCGGATGTGAATGAAATGACTGTTTGCATACCACCTCCAAATATACCTTGACAACTATTTAGCAACTAATTTTATTACCGCAGATTGATATCAACAAAAGCTCCTACCGAAAAATAATTTTCCAATTAAAAGTTCAATTTCACCTAAATTATGAAGAATGAAATAACGTTCTGACAATTGTGGATGCAATTGAGCAGTTCAGTTCCCGTTGGTCCTAACCATTCTGACCGTTACTTGCGGGTATATTACTGATTTCAGTGATTTGTACAATTGAAAGCTGGGATTGGCTGTAACTCTAGCTAAGACTGAATCGGCGTTTTTTCGATACAATTATAAATTCTCGAGGCAATTTTTCTGTTTTCGAATATTGAATTCATTCGCAACCGATATCTCCAGTTCAATTATCGTTGCCTTCTGTGACTGAAAATAACTGTAACGAAGTTGCGATTAACCATCAGTGTAACTAATAATTTTACGAGGTTTAATTAGAGTGTTGAACGTTCTATTGTTTTCATAGCCTCATGATCCAATGATCGTAAGCACACATATCGAGCTCTTCTATAGCGCTCCAAACATCATTTTTCCGTAGACTTGTCATCGTTTGCAACTATTTAGTTGGTATGGGAAGTAATAACGCAAGGTTTGCATAATAATTGTACATAAAAAAGGGTAACGTAATATCTAACGAATAAGTTATACTCTGCTAAAAATTATAATTACGTTTCTTCTTAAACGATAGGTCGTGCACTCGTGCGAATGCTTCCTTCCATAACGAATGTCCAGTATACACATGGAAAGGCATGCATAATATCAATGGATAATTTACACTCGAGTTAAAACGAAGGCGATTGGACTTGGCAGAAGTCGATTAAGTCTGAAGAGCAACTTTCAACATCTGCTGAGTATTTTGAAACATAAATTTCTCAAAAATGGTGCCTGAGATTATACGAAGAAATAAATATATCAAAGCTGACACTTAATACATTCTATGAATATTTCAGTTTCTGGTCTGATTAATGTAGCAGCTAACAGTTAATAGACGAGAATTGCCAGCTGGAGATTCGCCGAATTGCAGCATCTACGATTCAATTATTTCATAGTGGTTTCAGGCTTAATGATTGACTGGCTTGTTAGTTGGCTGGCATGGCTGGTTGACCGTTTCATTTGTAGGTTCGGCTGAATAGCAGTGTTAGCGCTGAGGAATTCATTCCCTAATATAAATTCCCGCACCATTCCTCAGAATTTGATAACTTTCTAAGTACACAGCCGACGTCATAAGTTACACTTCAACTTGAACTGCTTCTGGCGCGTCCCACTGCCAAGGCCTAAACTCAATCATTAAATAATCCAAATTCGCATTGAACTTGTATTTTACAATAACTTTATACATTCCGTCATATTTTACAGGAGCTTGCAGAGTTTGAGACGCTGATAAGCAATAACTGGATATCGAGCGGGCCGAGCGCGATTGATTAACACATGCAAGATAAAATTTACATATATTACAAGAACCCAAAGAGCTAATTTCATAAATGATTAGATTAATACACTAAAATTGTATTCTTCAAATGCTTTATAATAATTTGCTATGTACAGCCTATGGTCTTGGGAGGCCTATATAAGAGCAGAAAGTAATATGGCATATCAAGTCCATGAAATATCTGACCATTAAGTACGACATGCCTTATAACACAGTGTTTACTATACAACACACTGTTGATACAACACTCTGTTGATATAAAAATATTGATTCAATAAAGAAGTTGGGCTCTATACAGAGGACTAAATACAGGATTCAACAATGACTCTACAGGTGACCACGAAACAAATATCTGTTCAAGGGAACAGTGTTATCTATAATTAGAGTTACCACAACTTAATTTAGAAAAATAATAACGAAGTATTTACACGAAAAAGAACACAATTGCACTCACAATAACGGCTAAAAATTTTTTTTCCTGATTGCTGGGCAGACAAAGAGATGAATGCCAAGAATTCCAGAAGCAAACTCGAAACTCCTTACCATCTTAGACTATTGGATTACCTTTTTACAATTTCAAAATCAACTGAAAGCTATTAATCTCAGTACGATGATCTATATACATCAGCACGACACCGAGCCCTTTCATGGCTCAAGCCCGAGTCCACAACTGAGCATCAAATCTCCTATGGGAAAGGCCTCGTACAACAGCAGATGGGACGTATTTAATGCTGAAGATGAAAGGCATCAGTAATGAATGTCACTTGATCAGTGCTGAGCCGCACTAGATTGGTGCAGAGCATCGCCACATCAGTGCTGATCGTGACCACATCAGTGCTGAGCGTGACCACATCAGTGCTGATCTAGACCACATCGGTGCTGATCTAGACCACATCGGTGCTGAGCGTGACCACATCAGTGCTGAGCGTGACCACATCAGTGCTGAGCGTACCACATCAGTGCTGAGCGTTACCACATCAGTGCTGAGCGTGACCACATCAGTGCTGAGCGTGACCACATCAGTGCTGATCTAGACCACATCAGTGCTGAGCGTGGCCACATCAGTGCTGAGCGTGGCCACATCAGTGCTGAGCGCGGCCACATCAGTGCTGAGCGTGACCACATCGGTGCTGAGCGTGGCCACATCAGTGCAGCTGGGTCCTGAGGCTCTGTTGAGACATGATGGGGTAGGACAAGAGATGCGCTGTAGGGGCACCGCTCATGCTCAGCGACTGCGGTCCACTCATGGCAATAGCTTGGGGGGCAGACATCGCAATTTGGGGTGCAGCCATGGATATAGGAGGTCCAGCCATGGATATTGGTGGGCCAGCCATCGATATTGGAGGTGCAGACATGGAGATGGGAGGAGCGTTCATGGTGATAGGTCCACCTTGAGACATCGAAATAGGAGGCCCTCCTTGAGACATGGCGATCGCCTGGGCACCTTGTGATATAGAAATTTGGGGCACCCCTTGAGACATTGAGATTTGAGGGCCAACTTGTGATATAGAGATGGCTTGGGCCATATCTATACCCTGAGACATGGAGATTGGGGAACCTCCTTGACTCATGGATAATGCCTGAGCACCTTGAGACATGGAGATCGCCTGAGCGATATTGGCAGCAGCTACAGCCGGAGGAGCGGGGATTGCAGTGATGGTCTGCCCCAGTGAAGGTACGATGGTGGGTGCCGTGATTGAGGGTAGCGACATGGACATGGAGGAGGTGGTGATGCGGGGGTTGATGGTCCCCGAGCTGATCGTAATGGAGGCCTGGGAAAGCGGGACCTGAACCGTTCCTACCGATACGACGACAGCTGCTGTTGGAGGGGCGGTCGCCACAGCCACAGCTTGGGAAGGTACCAGAGATTGTGGTGGCGGTTGTGAGGGAGGTTGTGTGGGTGGTGGTGGTTGTGATGGAGTTGCGATGGCCACAACAGAGCTGCCGTCCGTGGAGATGGAGGTGATGGACATCGGGTTGGAGAGAGGATGTTGGACGCCAGCAGCACAGTCTGACGGCTGGGGCAAAGACTGAGGAGCGATGGTTGGCGGTGCGGCGATGGTGGTGTGGGCGACGGTTTGCTGGGGCAAAGTCATGGTGAGTGCCGGGCCGATGGCGATGGCGTGGACGAGTGTCGTGCTGGTGGCCACGTGGCCATTGAGCTTCCGGGCTCCCAGAACAGTGACTTTGTCCAGCAAGAAGTCATTAGTGGCGCGCAAATCCTGGAGTTACTTGAGCGGCCGCAGCGGCAGACAATGGCGAAATTGTTGAGGCCACGAGGGTGGCAGGATTTGTGGCCAGACTCACAGAAGCGAGTGTCGTGCTGGTGGCCACGTGGCCATTGAGCTTCCGGGCTCCCAGAACAGTGACTTTGTCCAGCAAGAAGTCATTAGTGGCGCGCAAATCCGAGTTTTCTTTTTTTAGTGTGTTGATTTCTTTTTTGAGGTCGTCCAATTGTTTCCGCATGACTGCCAGCTCAATGCCTTGGCGGTCCCACTCCGGCACCAGCTCGCGGCCTCGGCAATCCATTAAGGTGTTAAGATCTCTGGGCATCGAAAGCAGGTTTTCAGGAGTCAGGCCATGGACGTAGTCTCTGTCCTGGCTGTAGTCGGAGTCTCTAGGCAAGGAGTGGTAGCCCTGATAACCACAGACACCAGGGTCGAGTCGTGGGCGCTTGTGATCAGGAAGGACCTCACCGTTGAGGAGGTTGGGGTGGGGAGGACGCCCAGGCCCACCGTCATGGTGGTGGCCGTTGTTGACAAGCTCGCTCTCGTATGGATGGACAGTGGCCACACCTCGACCATCTATCATTACGCGATCGTCCATACGTCGGCCACAACCATTGAGGCGGCAGTGTTTGTCGCTGAGGTCCCTAGGTGGCGAGTCTGGTCCGTGGGGCTTGATATGGTGCGGTGAAGGCAGGTTGGCAGAGGGAGCGTTGAGGTTATTAGAGTAGCCATAAATCTCCTGGTGATACTCGGCCTGGTTCAGGTGTCTGAACTTACACTTGCCGCCGCGCCTCTTCTCACACTCGCCCATCAGGTAGTCCTGCAACAAAATATACATACCGGTATGTTAAAAGTTGCTTCGTTTCTCATTAAAATGAGTAGAAGAAAATGAGTATATAATTATGATACAAGGAATGAGTATAAAAAACAAAAAAATTAGTTTAAGTGAGCAATTAATCAGTAACTATACTGTACTCATAAAAATGAGTGTAAATAGCACAGGGAGCCAATATATTCCTTCTATCCTTGAAATGAAGGTTTTTACTCAAGAATTTCATTTAACATAAAAAAAAGAGTCCAGCTATGAACAAATATCAGTCTCTTTCCATATAAAAAAGCAGAGCGTCACTAAAGTGTCCATGTGAAGAGGAGATGCAGCATGATAGGAAATCAAATATTCTCCAAGAATTATTAATGAAAATCTTATACTATATATAACAAATTAATTTGGCATTGGAATCCTCAGCGGGCACTGGTCTAGAGTAAAACATAATTACAAATGGGGGATATGATTTCCTTGAAGCTCATACTCATATTCGGCACATGAAAAATGCATCAATTTCTGAAGTCTACTGGGAATCCAACTGACCCAAATATTGAACAAGACTACAAATTGAAAATAATGATTTGAGTAGGTACTTTTGCGAATTGATATGCAACAGTGATGGGAAAACATCCCTACTTTACAGATGAGGAAGCTTCCATTAAGATTCAATACCCACTTTACAGATGGGAATGTCGCCGTTAAGCGTAGCATCTGCCATCTGGCCTTTGCGTATAGCCTGGTCCAGGACGTGTGGTGGGATGTGGCCGGTCTGAAGGTACTGGTTCTCTTCTTCACAGGTGCAATGAATGAACCTGCAAACAGATTTCCGAGTGATAGTAAACACATATCGGTAGTCTTTACCCCTCTGTTTTCTCAAATCTTGTTGATAGCTTTAAACTTCTCAGGAATATCCTACATAGATTTTTCAGACTTTTAAATGAAAAAATGAATAAAAAATTTACTTAAAAATGAATGTCATTAATGGTTGATAGTACAACATCAAACAACTGGCAGGTTACGTTAGAATAACCTTAAGCAATAAGCAACACAGTTCATATGCTTAAAATGGATACCTCGTCTAATAAGTCCCCAGTCATCTCCTATCTTCCGACAGTTATCAAGTACCCATTCATCTCATGTCCTCATCTCTTTTCAGGAGCCCACTCAGCTTAGATTCAATTTCCAGCCCACTCAGACAGCATTGATAGAAAGTCAATCAATGACTAATGAATGAGCATCTCAACGCACTTGCAGCAATTCCTGTTGCAGTGATTGTTCTGGTAGTCATGACAGAATGTCAGTCTAGTGCTGCCCTGGGTAGCTGACACGGCCGTCCCACAACCTGCTGGCTGAGCATTACTGCAGCCATCATCTAATACATCCCCTGCCAATGCAGGACCTAATGCAGGGTCCTCGTTTGGGTTGATGTGCACAAATTTGCAGCGGTTTCCTCGCCTGCAAACTTTCCGCAAGAAGTCACGGCACACCTGGAAGAGGGAGTGCAGAAAAAAATTAATTGGGACGTTATAAATTCAGAAGAGGGATGGATGTCAAGTGTATACATATTATTCCTCTGTTTCACAAATCTTTACTGTAAGAAGTATTTATTCATGACTGATGATTATAACTAATATATTGCATAACAAAATTTTATAGAAGATTTCTAAAGTAATCTTCAATTTTTTAATGAATAATAGAGGTTATTAAAAAAGATGTAATCAAGCCTGAGAAATTATTACTAACTTGTAAAGAGCTGTAGTGAGCAAGTCAAAAAATGACAAAATAGTTCCAACTTTACTGCTGTTCACACAAAATTGTGGTCAAATAAAACTTAAGCTGATGGTTTAGCTACTTCATCACATTCTCCGCTAATTCACAAATCATATAGCACGAGATCTTAGCAATATATTTGAGTAATCACAGATGTCAGTTTAAGGTAGCTTTGGCTAACAAGATGCCATTAGGATTCACATTCCTTAACAGGGTAAGCCATTATTCATTAAAAGCAAGAAATAAATACCTTAGATGGGGGAGCCAGATGACTTGTGCTGTCTGCTGGGATATCCACAGGGCTGTTGCTGCCAGATATATGATTTTCATTGCTACAGCTCCTGCCATTGTTTGAGTGCTGTCCATTTCCATTGCACTTGCCATCTGATCAACAAAAACAGGATGTTATTTGCAAAAAAATTGTTGGCAAGAATTTAATCTTCTGAAAAAGCAGTGATTATGCTTTTTTATACTTTGCCAATTTAAGTTATAGAAATGATGTTCAGTATTCTTACTTGCAATAATAGAAAGTTGTAAAGAGAGTTGCTTCATAAGTCAGGGTAGGTCTGCTATTATTGTATATGTGTACAGAGGTACTATGAAATGGAGCAAAAAGGGACGATTCTGAGCATTTTTTGTCAAAAACTTCTTACCATGAAACATTTCATACACAAGTTTGGGCTCATTTTGAAGGTCATTGCATAGGCTATTGTGTGTCATCTCTGAAAAAATTCCATGTGCTATTCATAAGGTGCCAGACGCAAAAGAAAAGCAGCCCATATTACCCCTGGGAACGGGGTATATATAATTCGGGACACTCAAAATAAAACTAAATTTTAAAACATTTGAAGCATGCAGAGTGTATCTATTTACTAACTGTACTCCAAAGTCCTTCTCTTTCATTGTAGATGATGCAGATGTAGAATAAATGAAATTTTCTGTGATTTGTACTTGGTTTATCCTTTATTGATATATTTCCATATCCATATATTAACATATAATTGATGTGATATTACCGTTTCATGGACATGCTATTGAGCATTGACAAGAACCATGTCCACTGCAATCTTCATATTAGCAGCCATATAGCATTTCTTCTGTATCTGTCAGCTAACAGGACTGGCCTTGTAATTTCACACCATTTTAATTATGTCAAGTGAATTCAACATAAAAATAAGATAGTAAACAACATAACTGAAAAAGAAACGATTATATTAGTGACAACCATTATATTATTTTGGAGAAATAAATCGTAGTTTAGGTTAATTACTTTTCATTCAATGTTGCCCAATGCACAATTCTATCTATGACATTATATGCACAAGTTTGTGATGAGCTGATGACCAATGCTGCAATAATTTTTTGTTAAGTGAAATTTTTTTGCACTTAACAAGGTAAATGTATAAATAATTATTTGTTGTTAAACAATTTTTTTATTAACTGTAGCCTTTGCTAACCAAGGTTCTACTGTAAAAGCATTTTTATTGGTGTTCCCTATTACCCTGGGCCTGGGACTGGCTGGGAGTAGGTATCCCTTAAATTAAGGGGAACATCTGGGGCCCCGGCATGGTGGAATTCTAGGGGGTTTTTAAAAGACCAATGGAACGGCCATTGCTTAGCCAATCTGAGACTGGGGGACATAATTTTGGCTGGTGCATTAACATAATTCAGATTGTAGAAGTTTAAAAATTTTAAGAAACAATATGTTTGCAAAGTGCAGACCACAATTTTTTCAATCAAACAAAAATACATGACATTAGAGCCGCAAGGTTTCATACCTTCTGAAATTATACAATATATTAATATAAGAGCCACAATATTTCAGAAAAAAGTAAAACTTTTCCCTACCTGGGTGTTTAGTGGTAGGTAACTACAAAATTTTAGCAAAAAAGAATAATAGTTTTTAGATAAATCATGAATATGAACATGAGAGCAGAAAATGAATTACCCACCTGTATTCATGTTGCTTGATTTATGCTTCATTCAATACTTAATTTAACAAGCACTTGAAGAGACTTTTGTGGCTAGTTGGCACTTGTCAGGCCAATTTCTGGCCAAATGTCATGTTTCAGAGAAAGATAGTAGTTTTAATGACACATGGATGGATGAGCTACAAATCTAATTAAACCAAACAGATCCAAAGTTGACATCTTTGAGAGTTGAGACGTTGATACTTGATGGGCTTGAGGCCTTGATGAATGATGGTCTGACACTTTGAAGTTTTGAACAGGCAGAACAGCATACTAAAACATTGCATGCATGATGCTGTTGATGCATAAAGAATGCTTCTAGCTATTCAAACTGGAACCTTGATATACATATATATCTGTTTGCCATTCTGAACGAATTACGATCCTATCATGATTCGCTTTTGATGGCAAAGGAAGTTTACCTAAGAACCAGCTACAAAGCAATTGTTTGCAATTCCAGGCATTAAAACCATTTTGGAACGGTAAAATGCACCAAACTACGGATCCGCTGTACATCCATGAGTCTGTTTTCACTTCAACAATAACTTTTATTTTTATTTTATTTATTTTTGTTAATTGTTCTACAAATTGTAATCTAACTTTAAGAAATAAATATAAATAAGTAATTATAATACGATTGATACAGACTTTGTATTTAATATGTGAAGCCAAACGCCGTGTCATAAAAAAATTGTGTTAAACAATTACTACTCCCTGAATAAAATAATTTCAAGGTTCACAATAACTTCGAAATTTATAAGCCATTGTACATTTCTGTGGCCGATTCTCGTAAATAAAACTATCATTTATCAAAATACGGAACACACTGAGATGATTTTTCCGAATTTGTCCTAATTCAAAAGTTATTTCATAATACGTGCTTTGTGCTACTGATAATTATCAGTATTCGTGAACCTGACCAAGCGATGTCAAGCAGGCGGTTGAACATATTCAAATAAAAAATAATTCAGGAACTTATATCACGATCCACTCCTGTAGAATATCAGCTTTACTGAAAACTTATCTGGCCGCACAATCTTGAATACGCAGTAATATTTAAATTTCTTGCAGCTGCTTTACTCTTTACAATGAAACTAAAGCCCTTCAAATCGAAGGCTCTTCTGCAAGTTAATAATGTTTTTATTTCACAAGTTATGCAAGACTACGAAAGGATGTTTTTCATTTAAATAATTTGGTGAAATAGTCCTGACCAATCATATCTAGGGTTAATTTGAAATCAATTGTTTATTTTTCTGCTTCACAAGTTAGCATCCGTCATTGAGCACAACACACGGTCTCAACACCAAACGGGTTGGAAGGTTTTGTTGCCGTTTATTAGCTAGTAATTTGCTCAGTTATTTGAAGATGTTTTATAGTCACTGTCTTACACGATATCGGATGAAAACCCCATTTGATCAGCAGCATATTCTTTGGTTCATGCAAAACTCCACAATTCATCAGTAAATGACTGAGGATGGAGTGTTGACTGAGCATCCACGAGAGCAGGTTGTGTGGTGCCTAGAGCTCTTCGATTGCTTGTTGTTTGCTCTGTAGCCTTGCACGTGCGTTGCTCCCATTCTCTCGTCTCGTTCTTGCTGACGCGGCGATTTTATTATTGACACGTCTTTCTACTGAGTGTGCTCGTTATTCTTTTGCGGCGTGCCACTTGCTTGACT